TTTTTCTTCTAAGCTCCAAGCAGAGAGATAACTGGAGTCTGAGTCTGATGAGTCCATGAATGTTACTGCTTCTCAAGGTAATTTAATTTCAAGGGCAACACCAAGCTGCTTATAAACATCATGCAGTTGCTTATACTGTCCCTTCTACCTAGAATGTTCTTCCTTGTACCCCCTTGCCTGGCTTTCCTCAGAAACCCCTGAGACTGATTCCTGCCTACTCCTATCCCTCCTACCCATCCTTTCCCCACTTACATTAGGTGCTGTTTAATTGTGCACATATACCTTGTACATATATTTCTTGTTTTACCTGTCAGATTTTCATTTTCCAGTGTGTGTATCTATGTACTAGACTGAGTTCCTTCAGGGCAGAACTGGGTCTTACCAACCTTTAGATACTTAGCACCTATTATAGTGCCTGATACTACAAGTTTGATAACAACTGAGGACTTAACATATTCCCCCCACCTCTGGATAACGTGTTGGACAGTAGATAATAAAACATTCTTATAGTATGTTATCTGTATTCAGAGTATTTTAAAATTTCACCTTATAAACTTTACATTTTTAAAGGTATTACTGTAAATTAGAAAATTCTTTGCAGTTGTTTTATAATCCTATATTGAGGCCTGAATCATTTTGGATTGGTTTGCAGTTTTATTGCATCAGTGGTCATGTTAGCTTTCAGAAAAATTCCACATTTTACAAGCTTGAAATAATTAACTAATAGTTATGTAAATTTATTCTGAACTACAGTAGCCTCATTTCCATGGTAACTAACCACCCTCAGAATTTTCAGGTATTCTCAAAAAGACCAGGAATATCCACGTGAAATAAAATGAAATATGATGTAATGTTAATACCCAGATTTATGTGGACTACAGTTGCTTGATTTCTGACCCCAAATGTTGCAGAATAGAAGAGCCATTCACATGCCTGCAGTCTCTGCCTGTTTGTTGTTTGTGCATTAGTCAAAATGCAGCATAAGAACTCCATTGTGATTTTGTGTTACTAAAATGACCCTAATGAGGAAACTTTGTGGGAAAGATAAGCACATGGTGCAGAAATGAATCTGTGATTTCTGTAAAACCACTAAGAGATCAGCATTGTACCTCATAGAAAGAATATAGTATGATGAAAAGAGATTCTTCTTTGGAGATGTATCCCTGTTTCCCCATGTCTGGTTATGTCATCTTGGCAAATTAATCAATTTACTTGAACCTTATTTTTCTTATTTGTAAAATAGGGATAAGAAAGCCTTCTTTGTGGTGGTATTGTGGGTTTAAAGAATCTTTCTATCTGACTAAGCCTTCTCCACTTAATTCTACTTTCTTTGATTTCTTTTTTGCCTTCCTATCTGGATTCTGCTTCCTCCTTAGATCATTCAGATTGACATCTCAGATAGCTTTCTGTTTTGGTTTTGTTTCCTGCCACCGACCATCAGAGGACTCTTGGCTCCGCATTTTGTGGTCTGTGAACCAAGCCAATCACACCCAATTCCTTATACCCTGTCTGTCTTCTTAGGTTCTCCCTTAAGTCTATGCACTCTGGGCTTCTACTTGTCTAAGAGAAAGGATTGGACAAAATGTTGGTAAATATTCTTCATTCCGTTATTTACAGAGTATAATAATTGTAATATGAGGGCAGAGTTATGCCCTTTCCAGCCCAGAAATAAGTGAAAAGCTTTGGCTGTCATTCTTGGTATTAATCTTCTTAGGTTATCTGTCGTGACCTCAGAATTTCAAGCTTACCTTAATTAGCCCACTCTGGGTCTCTTATTCATTGATTTTAGCTATCTTTTCTTGAATAAATATATATTCAGCCTTATTGAGGGATTGTCTTCCATATAGTATTTAATTTACTGTCTCACTTTTATTGAACTATATTTCTTTTACTTTAAGGGGTATTATCAAATCCACTGGCTTTGGTCAAGAGGGCCATGCCAGGAAAAATTTTAGTAATTTTAGTTATATTTAATCTCTTAAACCTCTCTTCTTTAATTTTAGTTATCTTCCTCTTTTTTCATTAAAGACATGATAGAATTAGGAGCAGTGGTAGAAGTGGAGTTTTATGAATTAGGAAAAGCCCCCTTTGTTACTAAGAATTAAACTCAGAAATTGCAAAGTGGGCAGCTTCAAAGTGGACAGATAATCTGGTGAAAACAATATCTAGAACAGGTTTCTTCTTGATTTTCGATCCCCCCACTGCCACCCCCTACCAGTGAGTGTTTTTTGACGGCGCTTTCATGTAAACTCAGTTTATACACAAGGAGTGGGATTCTTACCCCATCAAGTCCCCTCAGGAATACTTTGTCTCAATACAGCACAGTTGCCCTTAATTTATCTGAAAGCTAAATGAATTGAATGGTGATCTAAATTCTGAGAATAACTGACAAAAAGCTAAATGAATATAAATCTATTTTACTTTTTCCAAATCCCCATTGTAATAATAACCATGAGTTTCTTGGTCTTTTTGTCCAGAGAAATCCCTTAGGCTATGATCATGTCAGTGGTTTAAAAGATTTTTTGGCTGGGGAACTCAGCAAAATTATACTTGGAAGCCAGATATTTAAAATAGATAAACGTGGAACCATTCTGATGGAGGCTGGGCAGGGTAGGAGTAGAGTCTTCACGCCCAGCCCCTCCATTCCTTGTTTTGATTTTTTGTTGTTGATGTTGATTACAAATACAAGATTTCAATGACTATGTTAAAAGTAATGTCAAAGTATGTATTTATTCAGTACCTACTGCAAATTAGACAAGAAAGCAGAATCTAGTATCACTGGGGACACGATGGCATACAGGGCACAGTTCTCACCCTCAAGGATACAGTAGGTGATACAGTGAAGTCATTAGGCACTCCTTGCCCAGGCTGATAAAAGCTGTAATATTATGTGTCAACTATGTCTCTGAAACTTATTCTTGTCCAGTTGATTTCAGTGATTCTTATGTAGAAAGTAGAATGAAAAAATGACATATTTTTAACAAATTTATTTCTTGAATTCTTTACATTACATTATGAATTAGAAATGGATAGTAAGTCCAAACATTTAAAAAATATTTAAGTAAGGAATTTTTTATTGATATATAATAATTGTACATATTTATGGGGTTCATTGATATTTTGATACATGCATACAATGTGTAATGATCAAATCAGGGTATTTAGGATATCGTCACCACAAACATCATTTTTTTGTGTGTTGGGAGCATTTCAGATCTTCTAGCTATTTTGAAATGCACAATATATTGTTAATTATAGTCACCCTACTGTGCTATCAGACACTAGAACTTATTCTTTCCACCTATGTTTGTACTCATTAACTAACAAAGGCCTCTCTTCATGCTCCCTCCCCTCCTGGCACACGCACCCTTCTCAGCCCCTGTAATTTGTGAAAGATCTAATTCAGAAATGACCACAAGCCTAAATTGTTCTGTAGTTTTGAAGCAGAAATTACATGGACAGAATTTGACTTATGAACTTAGAAATCCTGAGAAATGGGTCAGCTGGTTGTTCTGTACCGTTTTCAAAACCAAATCATTTGGCAAGATCTTTACCTTTGCCATCCGTTTCTATGTCTGTCTTACATAGTATAATAGTATTCTTTTTTAAAAAAATATTTTTCAAAATTGTAGTGTTTTCTTCTTTTTAAAATCTTAAATCATAGTCATTTCCTAGTGATAAGAAGGCGGAGGTGGTGAAGAATATTTTTTCCTAAGGAAAAAAAACCTTTTCTAATTGTTTTCAACTTTACTTTGTATTAGAAATTTTTGGTGACAAAAAGTTGAAAGAATTTTATAGCAAACACCCACCACCTTGAATCTTCAGTTGACATTTTATAGTAATTGCTATATTAAATATCTATCATTCTATCCATCAATCTATTTAAATTTTTAGATACATTTCAGAGTAAGTTGCAAACGTGCTCAAATGCTTCAGCATTCATATCATTAACTAGAGTTTAATATTTTGTTTGAGGTTCTTCTCTGTTTTTTGAGGTAAAATTTATATACAGTGAAGTGCACAAATCTTATGTCTGCTGTTTGTGTCCAAAAAATGTGCATTACTATCCAACTTAAACCCATATAAAAATACAGAATATTATCATCATTGCAGGAGGGTTCCACATGCCCTTCTTAGTAAATCATCTTACTAGCCCAGAGGCATCTACTCTTCTGGTTTTTCCCAATATAAATTAGGTTTGCCTGTTCTGAAGCTTTATATAACAGTAATCATGTCTGTATTTGTTTGTATAAGGCTTTTTTCAAAAGCATAACATATTTGAGATCCATCCATGTTGTTGCATATATTAGTAACCTGTTACTTTTTGTTGATAAGTAGTATTCCTGGGTAGTATATGCTAGACCTTTTCCCAAAGTGGTGTACCAATTTACATTTCTACCAAAGTGTCTGGAGTTGCTCCACATTCTGGTCAGCATTTGGTGTTGTCAGTCTCTAATTTTAGTCATCCTGGTGGGTGTGTAGTGGTATGTCTATATGGTTTTAATTTGCATTTCCCTGATGATTAGTGATACTGAGCACTTTATCATCTGCTTATTGGTCATTCTTGTATCTTCTTTCATGAGGTATTTTCTAAACAGTGTTGATTTCCTATGTAGATGATACATGCCATAGCCACCTTAAAGAGAATTCTTAAAGTATTGTGTTAGGAAATTGCTTATTTGTTGATACTTGAAAATAATGGACAATAGAAAAGTTAAAATACTGATATAGGCCGGGCGCGGTGGCTCACGCCTGTAATCCTAGCTCTCTGGGAGGCCGAGGCGGGCGGATTGCTCGAGGTCAGGAGTTCGAAACCACAACCACAATGAGTTATCACCTTATGCCTGTTAGGATGGCTGTTATCAAAAAAACAAGATAACAAATATTGGTGAGGATGTGAAGAAGAGGGAACCCTTGTGCACTGCTGGTGGGAATGTAAATTGGTAAAGCCATTATGGAAAACAGTCTGGAGGTACTTCAAAAAATTAAAAGTGGCTGGCGCCGCTGACCTCTTTGAGTCTGAGGGAGCCAAAGTAATTGATGTATCCCTTCCCCACACAAGTTATTCCATTGTCTGCTACCACGTATTGTGCACATCAGAAGTGGCATCGAATAATGGCAAGATTTGATGGGCTAGAATATGGTCACAGATGTGAAATTGATGTGTCTACTGAAGCCATGTATGCTGCAACTAGACGAGAAGGGTTCAATGATGTGGTGAGAGGAAAAATTCTCTCAGGAAATTTTTTCTTATTAAAAGAAAACTATGAGAATTATTTCATCAAAGCCCAGAAAGTGAGACGCCTCGTTGCTAATGACTTTATGAATGTTTTTAACTCTGGAGTAGACGTCTTGCTAACTCCCACCACCTTGAGTGAGGCAGTACCCTACTTGGAGTTCATCAAAGAAGACAACAGAACACGAAGTGCCCAGGATGATATTTTCACACAGGCAGTAAATATGGCAGGATTACCAGCAGTGAGTATCCCTGTAGCACTCTCAAACCAAGGGCTGCCAATAGGACTGCAGTTTATTGGGCGTGCATTTTGTGACCAGCAGCTTCTTACAATTGCCAAGTGGTTTGAAAAACAAGTACAGTTTCCTGTTACTCAACTTCAAGAACTCGTGGATGATTGTTCCTCAGTCCTTGAAAATGAAAAGTTAGCTTCTAGTTCTCTAAAACAATAGAGATAAATGTATCATGCAAACTAAAATGACGTTTAGAAATTCTGTTCTCTAGAGAGTCAAATGATCTTGCTCAATTCTTGTAATTAGGTTCATTCTCAATACAGTCTTTCCTTGGAATCACTTTTTTGAATTCTTGTGATAATTAATTATAAATAATCTATCGGCATTTATTAAGCATCCACTAAGTATTTGTACAGGATTTCTACTATAACATAAGATAAATATTCCTGAAAAACAATGCATTCTGCAAAAATTTTATTTAAAAAGAACAAGAGCTTACAGTAAAAATAAGATCAGGGATAAACTCAAAACTTGCACATCTTTGTAACTAAAGCACTAACAGAAACAATAAAAATTTCACCTCCAGAGATAACCTAGATAGCCCAGGCGGGCAGCTCATCTTGTGGTGAAGGCTGTCTCAGGGGATATTAAAAATGCACAGAAACAATCAAGTAGGAATATTGGCTTCTGCATGTTGAGCAAAGCAGGTGGAAGAGGAGCTCTGAGCACTGGAGGAAGTAGAACCTTTCTGGGGCAGAATCATGCAAAACCTGGGGTATGCTGCTCTGGGGAGGAGCCCCAGGTGCACGCACTCCTTTTATTTCTCTAAAAATAGAGCTGAAATGATTGAGAACTTTTTTTCCTTCACTCCTTAAAGTTAAAATTTTACTTCTGTTATTCCAGAACCCATGCCTAGGAGCCAGAACAATTCTGTGTTACACTGAGTTAATTCTCTTGTTTACCAGTCACAAATGACCTCATTGATGCCGTAGAAACATTTGTTGTAAACTAACAGACCATATTGGAATGGAAACTCGGTAGATGGTAGAGTATGGTTTTAGTGAGAAACGTTCAAAATACATGGTAACACAATGTGAAAAATTTGCAGATAATTTGTGGACAATGCTAAAGGAGGAGGCCCATGGGAGGGTCCTCCGTGACCCCAGATTCTCTATTTCTTATGGTTTCCTTACCCTCTTGACTGCAAATGTTCTTTATTTGGGCTCCTTGATCCCAGAGAGACATTAAGGGAGATCTGTATAATATATTTGACAAAAATCTAATGGAAATTGTACATTTACTCACCATAAGACTATCATTGGCTTTCTTTCTCTTTGCTGGGACACTATTGTCACCTCATGTTGATCAGGTGTTCTAATTTGGCACTTGTATATTGTTAATAAAGAAGATTAGAAAGCTGAAAAAAAAAAATACAGAGACCACGGGTCTCGACTTCTTGGCTCAGGTTGGTTCGAACTCCTGAACTACAAAGGATCCGCCCGCCTCGGCCATCCCAGAGTGCTAGGTTAAAGGCGGAGCCACGCCAGCCACTTTTAATTTTTTGAAGTACCTCCAGACTGTTTTCCATAATGGCTTTACCATTTACATTCCCACCAGCAGTGCACAAGGTCCCTCTTCTTCACATCCTCACCAATATTTGTTATCTTGTTTTTTGATAACAGCCATCCTAACAGGCATAAGGTGATAACTCATTGTGGTTG